CGTGGACACAACGCATGTTTTAGAGTGAGAAGATCTTGTAACCCTAGACTTTTTTTTACATGGACCACCAAAACACAACCTTTTGAAAATGCCTAACCTAAAACCCAAGCATGACACAGAAGACGTAACAATAATAACAGATTATTTGCTTGATTTGTGTTGCAGAAACTAGTTGCTCAACTTGAGCAAAACGTTCATGAGTTTGTCGGAGGGTTCTGTGCTGAGGCAGGTAGAGTACCCAAAAATTATACTCAAGTAAGAGTAGAACTACTTCAACATATTTTTACTCAGGTAAAAGTAAAAAGTAGCCATCCAAGATATGACTCAAGTAAAAAAGTATTTGGTAAAAAAGAAACTACTAAAGTACTGAGTAACTAATCAAGACATCAATCATTTAATATTTAAAAATTACATCAACAGACAGACCAAAAATATAAAACTATGTGGAAATTTGGTGTATTTTAAAGATCAAAATGAAAATAAGTAAGTAAGTAAAAGTTTAAATTAGTTTTAAATAGCGCCTTTCACAGAAAAGGATTTCACAAGGTGCTGTACATCCATTATCAGAAAGAAAAAGCAAATATATCACAAAAACTGTACAAATTATACATTCAATATTTGAAACAAAAACAAAAAKGAGTTCAAGTTATCTCTCACCCTTATAGGTGGAGGGGATGGATACTAGACCGGAATAACACAATGATTGTTAGTCAGGGSTTATAAACTCAAGTTGTGAGGTGTTGAATATATTCAGTTGAATGCTTGAGTGAAAAAGTGTGTTTTTAGTTGTTTTTTTTAAAGGAGTCAGTGTTATCAACAGATCTTAGATAGGGCGGAAGGGCTTTCCACAGTCTGGGAGCCACTGAGGAAAAGGCACAGTCATCACGGGTCTTGAAGCGAGTACGGGGGACCAAGAGAAGGTTCTGGTCTTGTGAAAGCAAGTTGCATCTGGGGTTATAAGGCGAGAGAAGACCGGAGATGTAATTCGACGTATGGCCGTGTAGAGCTCTAAAAGTGAGAACCAAGATTTTGAACTTGAGTCTGAATTGTACAGGTAGCCATTGGAGTTCTGATAATATAGGGGAGATGTGAGAGAATTTAGATGTTCTAGTTAGAAGTCTAGCAGCAGAGTTTTGAACAAGTTGGAGCTGGTTTAATTGTTTCTGATTTAAGCAGGTGAACAGGCTGTTACAGTAGTCAAGACGGGTTGAGATAAAGGCATGGATTACCATTTCCATGTCAGGCAGACAGGAGTGGGTGAAGTTTAGAAATGTTACGGAGTTGAAAGTAGCATGAGGTAACTAGATTTTTGACGTTTATCTAGTGATAGGTCTGAATCAAAATTGACTCCCAGATTTTGTATGCTCTTTTTAACAGTCGGCCCCAGCGAGCCCAGTTGTTCTTTTATCTGAGGGATCTTATTTTCAGGTGCCAGGATCAGAGTTTCTGTCTTGTCACGATTAAGGAGTATCAGGTTGTCAGAGAGCCATTTGTTGACTTCTGTGATACAGTCTAAAAAAGAGATCAACTTGTGGGAACTTGACTCATTAAAAGAGCAGTATAACTGCAGGTCATCAGCGTAGAAGTGGTAGGAGACATCATGAAAACTGTCAATGATCTGGCTTAGTGGGCGGATGTAGAGAAGGAAAAGGAGGGGCCCCAGGATTGAACCCTGTGGTACGCCACAAGTGAGTTGGGCTGGTTCAGAATAAGTTTGATTTTGAAGTACTGAGAAAGAGCAGTCGGAGAGGTATGAATTAAACCAGTTTAATACAGCACCCGATATCCCAATGTTTCTCAGGTTGCGTAGTAGAATGGTATGATCAACAGTGTCAAAGGCAGAGGAAAGGTCTAATAGGAGCAGAACGGTGTAGAAGCCACTATCAGCAGACATTAGTATGTCATTTGAAACAGTGGAAGAGCGGTTTCAGTGGAGTGAACTTTGCGGAAGCCTGATTGATAAAGGTTGTGAATATTTTCATCCAGATAAGCAGTAAGTTGTAATGATACAATTTTCTCCAAGACCTTAGAGAGGAAAGGTAACTTAGAGATGGGCCGGTAGTTGTTGAGATCTGAGGGGTTGAGGGACTGCTTTTTTAGTTTGGGTTCAAGGATTGCTTTTTTGAAGTTGCCTGGCACACACCCAGATGTAAGTGAGAGGTTCAGTAGGTCAATAAGTGAGGGCCCCACCACATCATAAACAGTTTTTGAAAAGCTGGGTTGTAGAACGTCAGCAGGGGAGGTTGAGGATTTCATTTTCTGGATTACAGTTCCAAGGTATTCTGAGGTTACAAGGTCAAAGGAAGACCACGATTGCGTGCGGCTGGCGTCAGGTCTGATGGGTAAGTCTGACGGAGCAGAAGCTGGATTAAGAGGGATGCTACTCCGGATGTTCTCGATTTTAACAGAGAAGTGTGTGAGGAAGTTGTGACAGGTGGGAGCTGAAGATGTGTATGGGGAGGGGACGCCCGGCAAGACTTGCGAGTCAGTAGTGTTGAATAAGGTTTTGGGATTTTTCTTATAGCGAGTGATTAATTGAGCAAAATAATTTTACCTGGCATCTTTCATCATGGACTGMAGTKARAGTCTTAAATCTTTAAGGTATAGTCTGTGGACCGTTGGTTTTGACGATTTCCATTTTCGCTCTGCCTGTCTACATGCACGTTTAGCAGCGCGAATTTCCTCATTAATCCAGGGTACAGATTTTTTAACAGTAGAGCTTGAATTAGCTGTGACAGTACAGTTATTAAAAGATGAAAAT